CTTGGAGGGTCCTGTCGCCCGCGCGAAACCTGGCGAACCATCTGCGACACGTACGTTCGCTGACGACGTCCTGGCCCATAGCTTGGCATATGCGGCGATGAGCCTCTACTGCAGAGCTTCCTAGATCGTGCTCATAAAGCAAACAGTGCAGGAGGTGCTCACGGTTTGACATCATTATAACCTTAAAAAATTGTCGATAGGAGCAAAATAAAAGCATATTGATAAAATACGATAGCACACGCACATAAGGAAAAAATATGACCAAGCAAGAAAAATAATTGGGAAAAATACAGTATGTCAACATTTTCGGACAGAACTTTCCGAACAACCCAATACTTTAATTCGAAGAGCCCGAGAGTTGTGGTGGTGGTAGTTGTCACCCCAGCGCGCGAGGCCTAAAAGAGACTATGTCACTTCAGGTCATAGGCTGGGCCATCCACCCCTTAAAGCGCCAGGTCCTTGAGGCTATGCTATTCTAGGCCATCCAACGCTTATAGCGCCAACTATATCAGTCTGAGCCATAGGCTTCATACTTAGCTGTGTCAAAGGGTGGTAATAATTGAATGCGTGTTACTTTTTCACTTATCAGCTGCAAGTTCTCCATCTGAATACATTCTTTAATCAAGTGTTTTTTTCTGTTTTTATTTATTTATTTTTCCGTTAGATCAGGCGTGGCGGTTCGGGACATCCCTTCCATGCAATAGTTTTCTGCTTGCATTTCATGTCACGGTCGATTTATTTGAGTTCTCATGATTGATGAAGTCAAGATAATAACGTAAATCCTTTGTTTCATACGTTGCATAAACGGACCGCTCCTCCCATCAAGATGGTCGCGATATTTGCGAGGTGTGGTTGAACGTGAAAAAAAATGTTGAAAGAGATCCCACAGGATGGCGATGAGGCAGTCGCTGCAGATAATAAACGATTGGTGCTGGTGCGGAAACGTCTGCCACTGCAGTTGCGGTGCGAAGTGCCTAAATCGATGCTTTAGGAGGTGCTAGCCATAATGGCTGGAGTGACTGATGAACAGTACCCAGTTGCACGTAGGGAGCATAAAGTTGAAATGCAAGAGGCAGCGAATACTGAGCTCAGGAATAGGAGAGCCATGAAGCCTGCTGGGCAACTTGATGCAAGGAACGCAGCACTCAGGTGTCGAAAGTCTGTGGGCAGCCGGGAATTGGACCCGGACCTCTTACTTGCCAGTCAGGTGTGCTACCACTACACCACGGAACTCGGGACATTTTGTGAGGCCTCGCCATGTCGTCGCAAATCACTACAGTCGTTTGTGCAGCGAGCACTGTCAGGCTGCACATTTTGCTGCATGGATGGGACATTTGTTTCACATTGCTGCCACAACGGAAAAGTGTTTCTGCTGCAACTCACACTTAACGCTCACACTGTTGTTCACTGGTGCTAATATGGAGGCGAGGCATTTTCAGGAATTATTCGTTAGTGTTCTGTTACACATGCGCTAAATTCCCTCTGTGCTGAAGTCGAACAAATTATTCGAAACGGCCCGTACTGTTTCCGAATCAGAGGTACATGTACCATAAGCTAATGCTAATAACCCATGAGTTAATCGATGATGCAAGATTATTGAAGGTGCTGGGAAGAAGTTGTGGTGATGGCTGCCACCGCAACCATCGAGGCCTACGAGACTAGATCATTTCAGGCCATGGGCTACTCCATCCATCGCTCAAAGCGTCAGGTCTATGGGGCTTTGCTATTCTAGGTCAAAGGCTTGGCCATCTAACGCACTGAGTGCCAGGTCCATCGGGCTATATCAGTCTGAGCCATAGGCTTCATACTTATCTATGTCAAGCAAAGGGTGCTATGAACTGATTGTGTATCACGTTTTCACTGATCGACAGCAAGTTCTTCATTTGAATACATTCTTTCCTGAAGTATATTTTCTGTATTTATTTATTTTTTTCCGTTAGGTCAAACGTGGCGGTTCACGCCATCGCTTCCATGCAATAGTTTTCTATTTGCGTTTCATTTTATGGTCGATTTGAGTTCTCATGATTGATGAAGTCAAAATAATAGTCCAAAAAGTCTCTCTTCATGTGTCGCGCAAACGAGGTGCACATCCCATCAAAATGGTGGCGATTTTTGCGAGGTGAGGTTGAACGCGAAGAAAAAATGTTGAAGGAGGTTCCCCAGGACGGCGATGAGGCTGGTAAAAAACGTTTGCCACTGCAGTTGCAGTACGAAGTGCCTAAATAGGTGCTAGCCGTAATAGCTAGAATCGGTGATAAACAGCAAGCACATGTACGTAGGGAGCTTAGGGCCGCTCAGACCGCTGAACAGCAAGAGGCAGCGAGTGCTGAGCTCCGGAATAGGAGAGCCGTGCAGCCAGCTAAGCAACTTAATGCAAGGTTTGCATTTTCAGGAATTAGTCTTAAGCATTGTGCCGCACATGCACTAACATTCCTCTGTGCCGTCGAACAAGTTCTTGAAAACGGTCCGTACTCTTTCAGAATCATTGGTGTCTGTACCATACGCTAACGCTAATAACCGATGAGCTAATCGGTGATGCAAGAGTGTTGAATGTGCTAGGAAGATGAAATCAGCAATGTGGTCTTGAGTCTCATGAAAACGTGCTAAACCGAGGCATTCACAATGGTGATTGTGGCACTCAGCTCGAATATCATGATGATGGTGCTTAGGAGCAGAATTTCCCTGTGTACTGTAAGCTATATGTATATAAATGTAACAAAGCGGTTCAGTTCTGAATGGGTAATGCAATGAACAGAGGATTGTCAAGAAGACGTTATGCTCACAATAGACGATTCAAATTTCCACATACTTGACGGCCAGCGTAGCGGCCGCTAGTTAATACAACTACCATAGGCTGTTAGATTCCTTTTGTTCCAAACTTGAAGTGGCTTACGAACTTTCTGAATTTTCCCCTCGTAATTCAAGTCTATGACTCTTTCGGGTTCGAGGACAGCTGAATGTCCAGATACCAGACTGGGCATGAGGTTCATTTCATTTTTTCATAGCAATCGCAACGGTCCTCCATCGATATGATCCAATCCACAGTGCTTCCGTTTTTTATGGTTCATCTTCATACTTCTCACCGTTAAAGTCTTCTACTGCGGACATAACCGCTCTAAATGATGTTTCGGTTACATCAAGGAAGAACACGGTGACGTCAGCTTATTGAAGCGCCCGCCACCCGACTACATCTAAATTAATGTCTCTATTATAAGGGAATGAAGACAGTCTACTGAGACTTCGGTTTCCACACTTGATAACATACATATGATCACGTAGAAAAATTTCCTTTCTGTAGAGTTGCTTCTTCCAGTTTACCAGATATTGAAAGGGTGTTGTTCCTTTTCCAAGGCAGGGCTAACTAAAAGGCAAAGACATATATAATTCTTTTTCCATTTATTCATTCATTGGCCGAAAATCTGGATGTATGTGTTTCTTTTTTGTAGGAGGAGACCGGGATGAAGTTGAACGGTCGATTTTAGGCCTCACAGAGCCTGCTATCGAGCGAAATACAAATTTCCTACTTGAGAGCGAATCAACGAGGGGGAGATAACATGGCTGCAAGCACTTCGGTAAGCATTCAGTAGTTTTGGATATGTGACCAAAACGTGCTTTATAATCCTTCTGCTAATGTTATTGTTTATTTTCTCGTTGTCTCAATTTTGAAACTATAATGAGATTCATGATCATTTTATCATATTCCTATTTTACTGCAAGTTTCAGCAAACTCGAAGATCATGGGAATTTCTATATTTGCGAACAACTCAGCAGTCTGACGAAAGTTGTAGAGCTTAGTGAAGGGGGCAAAATGGAATTCAACTGGGAACCAGGTATTCACTTCGTTTTAGCTGGATAATTACAGTAGCGATAACCATTTTAAAACACATAATAATCGTCGGAAATTCTCGCTTGTTTCACCAAACTTCCCCGAGAAAGTTATGTTTACCATTTGGATTGGTCATTATTTTTCTAAAGGTCCAAACCAGCAGGACGAGACTTACTTAGGTAATGAACACGATTATTGCGTCAATTTGAAGTTGAATCTAATACGACTGTGTATATCATTCCACTTTCCTCTGTACCCAAGGCAAAGTGGAATGATATACAGAGTCGTAAAACGTTATAATTCAGGTACTTGACCATTCCAAACTCACTACGGCCGACGAGAGAGCACACCCTAGGGTGCATCAAATCGAACAGGAACCTTACTGCGACCAATGACACGAATTAAAAATCTAATGAAAGTCAACCTTTCCAGTTTGCTCCAGTGTCGACCCTTTTTGCACCAGTGCACAAGTTTCCAAGATACCACCATATACTTAGAAAATTCTTTAGTGCAATATTTTAAAACAATTTTTGATTTGAAAATTTCCATAATGTCGTAATTATGAAGCATGGTTTGCATTGTACTTCAGTTGCAGAGGCGAGGCCGTAATCCTGAAGAAGGGCGACAGGGAGGAGGGACGCAGAAAAATATCGAGGAAACAAGTGCGTCACATCGGTTCATTGTTGCTTTTGCGGGCCACTTTTAGACCCAACGTTAGTATTTTTTTAAGTGAAGAAAATTGGTGGGAGATTCAGTGAAAGGTGATTGCAGCACTGGGTGATCGAAGTCCGCTTTCGTTCAAGAAAACTGCGTCGCATTCGGGGAAATACAGTTTCAACTTTAAAATGCCAATATTGGCGATTTGAGGAGGGATGATCTCGATTCTCCGAAGTGCAACGGAATGCTGAATTTGGCAACTAGAATAGCTCGAGAAGGGAATTTCAAGTTGGTCAAGAGACAAATTTCCCCTCGGAATCGGAGTAAAAGCGCGAAGTTGGAGCGATTGCTAATATAAATAGAGAGCTCCAGATGCAAAATCAATATGATGTAGACTGCACGTGCAATTCCTAGACTTTTCCCACGGACTGCAATAGGGCATTCTTTCAAGGTGAAGGGGAGTAGATTTTCATATATGGCCATTCCAAGCCATATCCACTAGATGGTGAGTTTCGTCATGTCCAAGTATGACTGGTACAGTGGGACAATTTTTCGAAATTGTCAAAAAAAAGTATCTAGCCCGAAAAATTGTTATAATCCAGTTTGGCCTTCCTTTAGACGACATTCTTGGCTACAAAAATGTGAAAGCTCTCTTCATTCAAAGTGACAAGTGTTCTGCTGAATAGTAAAATTTCAAAGGCAGTCAAAGTGTCCCACTGTACCCCTTCCCCTGGGCACAGTGGGACATGCTCTGCTTTCAATAAGTAAACGCCATAGAATGTTTTACAATTTTAATTCTTATTGCTTATTGCTTATATAGCTTCTTTTTCTTGATTTTGAATAAAGCTGCATCAATGTTTTCCTGGGGTGTCTGTTGCTATTCACGATCTGCCTAAAAGTCCCCTTTTTCTCTTTCTAGTTTATTTTTCAATACCTGGAAATGGAAAAATAACGAATCTAACCAACATGCAGTACAGCGGAGCAGTCAGGGTTATGTTCCAGTCTACCCCATAACCAAATGTCCCACTATACCCCGAGTAACCATTTTTGAACTTTTTATTTCCTGGTCGAGAATCATTCAAACAGTCTAACAAAAACCTAACAAATAATCTAGGATAGAACCAGAGCGCTATGAAATGAATTATGCAATTTTACAACACATTTTTGGTGTGAGCCAATTATTCTAGTGACATGCGAAATATTTGGTCAAGAGGCAGAAAATTAGAATATTATTAATTCTACTCTAGCTGCACGATCGAAACCAAAAGTCGTACAGATGTGAAGGGTGATATGACGCCTCTTGCAGTAGATCTACATGCATCTCCATCTAGTTTGAGGCGATAAAAAATCCAGTGTTCCACTGTACTCCAGTTTCCCCTACTGCAGGATCCCATTAAATTCCTATGAGAACCCCGTAAGTTTTACAGGCAATTTACGGGATTACTCTACCTTCCTAGATTTTAACGAGCATTTTTGGTGAGAGGGTTGTTGGGGCGATGCCTGGAAGAAACAACATACTGGCCAATATGAATCTGAAAGACTTGTCCTAAGCCGATCTGTGCTTGAAGAACGACATTCACCAATGTATGAAGGAACGAATGAAAGAGAAGTAACTGCGAATTGAGTGTTTTCATCTGATGTTATGTCACTATATATCATGCAGCAATGGAAGCCACTGTACACGTCAAGGAAAACCAATTTCTTCAGCTGATAAAGAAAAGGAAATTAGTCCGTAACAGGAAGTACAATAGGCGCTATGGCTCCACATGTGCAATGTTAATATATCTCCATCCTTGATAACGGGTTGAATATCAAGGGAATGGATTGCACAGTTTGGCTCCACCGATACTTTAACTTGAATTAAAGAACTACCTCTATTTACTTGGAGAGAATGGCGTTAAGAAATGACTGAATTCGTTCCCAGATCGGTTGATTCGGGCCATTTTCCTTTGGACTGGCGAGAGGGCAGGCGACTGGAGGGGAGCTGAAGACATCGCAAAGCGCCTGAGGGAGCGCGGACTTTGGCCAAAAGGAGACACATTCTTGCCCTCACTGGTCGTGTCTCTCGTAAAGGTGATCTGGAAGAATTCGGCAGAATCCGAATCATTCGAGGAGAAATGTATGACATTCTTAAGCGGCTTTTTTCAACCTGTCGACTGTACAGAAGTGCAACTGATGCGATGGATTAATAAACTGAAGCTCAAACATCGACTCCAGGATGAAAACTTCAAGGAAATTCACATTTATAACAACTACCCCCCTTGTTTCAGATGCTGCACAATGCTCTTGAAGCCCGAGTATGATGTCCTGGTTGGCCGTATGCGCATGAGTTACCGTGCCCCGGAAGAGGAGGGCACGGAATTTCAGAAGCTGAAGGCAAAAAGGAAAGGCGCATGGCTCTTCCGGCTCAATAAAGCAGATATGGAAGAGCTGGTAAACTCGGCGATTGATCGAAATTGGTGGAAAACAATGGAACGTCAACAGAAAGTTCACTTACTGTACACCATCTTCTATTGGACTGGAGAACAGACACAAGTTATTAAGAAAGAGAAAGGCCTGATTGAATTCTTGAAGATATGTAACATTCGATGGAATTGCCGTGTTTTACCTGAGAAAGACAAATACTTGCCACATACGACCATCTGCATGATAAAGGTGAAAACATTTGCCAATGAGGGAAATTCAACACTGCTCACTAAGGCGTTTTGGTGTGGCATTTTCGATTTCACTGGGAAATCGAACCACGTTGAAATGCAGCTGCTAAAGTGGATCGAGGACAAGATTCCATCAAGTAACATAAAGGAAATTCAGATGTATACAAACTATTCCCCTTGTGGAAATTATTGTTGCGAGAAGCTCCTGACTCAGACTGGAATCCCCCTTCACAACTTGCGCATATTTTACAGGCGATTCCATAGGCAAAATGAAACCGCACAAGAGATCCAAAAGTCAAGGGGAAAACTTGAAGAGCTGTCAAAGAATGTGAAGGAATGCAGAGCGATTGGAAGGTATTATGCAGCATGGCTGAAGGATCAGTTTTTAAAGTCTCTCGAGGAACAATTCACGGAAATTTAGACTTCATAATATTACCTTGGTGAATTGATTTTTCTAATATAAACTCAATATGAATCAATATTAATTGCGACTTTCCGCAGTGATATCTGTTCATGGTTCGGAGATCCAGGACGATTTTAGACGTATTCCCGCACATCCGAAAAGGTGACCCTCTCCTGGCCTGTGTTTAAGCTTCATTCTGAGATTATAATAATTACATATGCATATGCACACAGACTGATTTTGCAATCTTAAAATGAAGCCTCCTAGTTGCCCATAATGACATCATTCTTCGATGGATGTGCATAAATGAGAACATTGCACAATTTCATGAGATTGAAGTAGAATCTTGGTGAATCCACTGGATTTCTTTTCTCAAAGAACTGTCATTTCAAATGCCAGACTAGTCATGGATTCAATATCATTTATAACTTTGATCCTAAAAAAGGAAATTTTGCAGCCTCGTTGACTTTGAAATAAATGGAACATGTTACCTCCTCAGCAAATTCGGCGAGGTAGGAACAATCATGTGATACATTCCAAGTTGTTAGTCTTTTTGTTATACCCTGCAGAACTTGTGACCATGACATTTTTGTTGTTTGTACCAATGATCACGAATGCCTCAGAGGCTTTCAGACCCAGGTCATTCAATGCATTCGCAATTACCTCTAGAGATGCCAGACTCCAGCTTGTTTCTTCTTCAAGATATTCACTCATCCTATGTATTAGGAAGTAAATCCTTCCCCATTCCTATTCTTAACATGGGTCATCATATTTCAGTGTTTTACAAACGAAAATTATGTACCCTCCATATGTTAATAAGTGATATTCATTGTTCGTTTGCTCGTCTCAAAGATGTGTGCAAATCCCATGCCAAATACAAAAATAAATATTACTTGAGCTTGCTTTCTTAATTGTTCATATTTATTTGCTGTATCTTATGTAGGAATAGTGTGCTTTTATTCATGAAGAGCTGCACATAAGTCGCAGACAATCTGCATGCAAGCACCTAACTGGCTCATTCCATACTCGAGGGAATGCGGTGAAAATTTTCGGGAGGCTAAAATGTATTCCCCGACAAATTTCGTCATATCGGAAGTATACCGCTTGGAATACAGCTCACAGATGACTTAGTAATTAAGATTGTGCTTCCGGGATGTTTATAGATGAACTGGCTTCTGGGACCAGGTATTTCCAAGTTCCTGGGTGTGTCAGACCCGTCGTGTTATATTAATATGCGCCAATTAAAATTCTCCAATCTCTTCGCGTTTCGAAATTCCACCTACCGCTCTGAGAGCATTGGGATAATTTATTGTGCTTCTTGCTCTAAACAGAGAATCACATCTATTGACAGAATAAGAATAAAAGCAGAAACTGTCCTAATGGGTGGGCTCGTTTTACTCTTCATTTCCTTTGCATATTGGGAACTTATTAACTAGCAGCTTGAGTGCAAGAAAAGGTAGGAAGCATTGCTACCTTAAGTTGGCATGGACTTTCAGATGCCATATATTGTCGGAGAGTAATAGTAACACAAAGTGAAAATGGAAAACATCAGGACATTTCATGCCGTTGCTGTGTTTGAACAATACAATTGTACACCTATATTGACATTCATTAAAGTTGTGAAAATGCTTCGAGTCAAAAACGCTCATGCACTGTGAAATTAAGAATTAAAATATCATACACCATCAGAAGAGAGAACTCATTTGGGTTCCGCTCATTCATTCAAGGCAGCGTTTCCCAACGGTGGTGGGTCGCTCCCCAGTGAAAACTTGAATTTTCAATGTGAGTAAATGGATGCTTGGGAACCTATGTTATTAAGCCTGTGGGGCGAGGCTCATTTTTTTATTTTCAGAGATGATCAGGGCGTCACTCATCTAATCAGTTGGTCGTTATGAGATATCTGTGCTCCCTTATAGGTGTCCAGAAGAAGATGGATCACAGCGAAATTGGGGACAGTCAAAAGGGAAAAATGCTGATGAAGAATCTAGAAATTCGAACATCATTAGAAACTAATCAGAATGCCTTCAAGGAAATTGAGAAAACCCCAGACGAAAAGACTATAGAAGGCGCTTTCGGAAATCCCTTCCAAATCAGTACAAATGTAACAGACTCTTTAGAACTTCTGTATATGAAGAGGGTTACGCTTTGCCAGTGAATGGCGTTGGAGACAAGGACAAAGGATTTCTTGATCGCGTTTTCTTCTCAAGTAGAGTTGACTTCTATTTGAATGGAAGGGTGAAGAGGAACAATGCATGGTAATGGGGTGAAGAGACTCCAATCAATAATTTCCAACGGGAAATAGACGATCCGTCAACAAGAGTGAAAGTATGGTGGCCATTTCCAGGCAATTTTGCATTGGCCCCTTCGTCATTTCGAGCGATATGAACCCAAAAGGGTACATGAAGTTCCCCAATCAGAAGTTTCTGCCAGAATTACGAGGCAAAGAAATCGACAAATCGAGTGCATACTTCCAACAACATGCCCCTAGTGCATAAGTTAACTCATCGGTGATGGAGTTTCTCAAAGGTCACTTCCCTAACCGTGTCATCTCTGAGGGTACTGCTCATCGGGGAGTACTGACCTCAACCGCGTGGACTTTTCCCTCCGGGAGTTTCTCAAGAAGAAAGTCTACGAACCAAAGCCCAGTGCAGTGGATCAGTTGAGAAAAATTCTTGAAGAAACGGAAATTCCTCAAGATGCCTTAGAAAATGCTACATTCAATGCGGAATATAGGTGGATCAATTGTCTCCAACGAAAAGGAACGCACATTCCCTCACAAAAATATGCCGACCAAAGGTATTGTCCGATGATTATTCAGGTACTGATTCTGTCGGTTTACAATATCTAAAGAATTTTTGTTTTTCCTATGTCTCATTCATTTGTGGTTTCTCCTCAGGGAAGGAGCCCTAAACCCTGCAATAAACCACAATGCTTCTTATGTGCTAGTATGACACAACGAAAGTCCTTAAATTTGAAAGGAGAAATGGGGATAGTTAAGAAGCACCCTGTCTTTGCAGTGGAAGATGGAAACTGCAACACTTAATATGTCGTTTACTGCCTGACTTGTAAAGTCTGTGACTTACAAAACATTGGCCGAATAAAGCATCCCCTGTGGTACAGAATGCAAAGGCATAAAGATGCCATACAACTATCAGGAAGGCAGAAGGAAAACATGACGGGAATGGTACCGAAGAAGCAATGGAACGCACGGGTGTGACAAGTATGTGACATGTTCCCTCGTTTCGTTGTTGTGATGAATTTATTATTTAAAGAAATCTTTCGAGGTCTGTCATGAATGGTCTTTATGATCTTGAATGCTTCACCAAAAACTCCATTTTGGATTTTTTCTCCTGCGCCCCTAGTCCTAATATCACATTAATATCTCGCATGATATTAACTACATGCCTCTAAACACTCTCAAAGCATGACTATGAACGCTCTAGTCATTAAATCCCCTTTCCAAATCTATGCCCAAAATTAGATCGGCGCAGTGCACATGTCAGTTCAATAGAAGGTAAACCTGGTGGTAGCGTTCAATGTCAGATGAAATTGTTGATAGTTCTTGCTGAGAGAATAAAATTTCTTCGTCAATACGATCAACCACGAAATCTATTGCTTTCTGACACCCCTCCCCCCAACTTAACTCACAACGAGCATTCAGAGATGAAAAAATAATTCAGGGCGATATTTTTATTCATGGGACTTTCATACATATTTATAATATTGGAACGAATTGAAAATGCATGTAATTTCGCATCAGGAATCCATTAACATTTAGTAGTTATACTCAATGAAAAAAACACGTTCAGTACGTCCTCCTTTATGCGGAATCACCGGTCGTAGGGTCGTGGTGTAATTCTGCACAACTGTCTGAAGAGTATCCCGGGAAAAGGAGTCGACTTCACGTTCTTTGGCCGGCTTCAATTCGCCAAATGTGCATGGATTTAACCTTCACTCGAAGACTTTGTCCTTTGGGTATTCCCGTATTCCGCCTTTCACCTATATAGTATAACGAGCCGACGGATCCGACTCTGAATCCCGCCCCTTCATCCTTGTTCATCTTTCCAGATGCTATTTGGTGCAATAAATTCATCGTAATACCAACGAGGAGTCATTCTAACCTCGAACACGCCGACGATTTGTTTGTCGTCGCATCAGAGCCGCCGACAGTAGGTCGAGTATAGGCACACTACATCACCGAGTCTAAGGAATATCTTCAAATTCGTTTCCCTTCGAGAAAAACATACGTCACTAATTCGCTCGGCAAGCGTACAGATACGCATGAACGGATGCCCCAGTTTATGACAAAGAAAGGCACAGGCTTGGTCACCTCGCGCCTCAGGCTTCTAGGTCTGATCATTTCCTGAATGCAATGAGTAAAATCGGTGTAGGTCTCCGCGCCTGTCCGAAGGTTAGATGTAGGTCTGCTAAAAGTCCCCTCAGAGCATACAATCTAACACCGACCTGTTTTCCCTCTCACTTCCTTAAAAGAAGGCGAAAGAGGTGTAAGCCTACACGTCCATCCATGGGTTACGCCTAGGCCCAAGAAATGAGTCTCCCTCCTTATGTGCCCCAGGGCATGTATCCTCAAATTCCAAGTTTATGTGAAACAGGTATCCTTGTAGGTAGTAGGAGGACGATGTGAACCTAAGCATCCACTCAAGGGTCAAGCCTAGGCCTACGAAATGAGTCCTCCCTCTCCTCTACTTGAAATATGCCCCCCGGGGCATGTAATATATTAATACCTCCGAAGTCCCAATTTTTCTGGAGTCAACAACCTTAACAGCTGTTCGTGTACGAAGTTTCATCCTCTCATCATATTTAGAACATAGCGGATTAGCGTCAGTCACTCACGGTCGTCTATATGTGCACTGTATATTAGATGTGGATTTGCGCGGTGAAATTTATATCTGCATGAAGCTGGGCGAACCGCAATCAGGAAAATAGCATTTCTTCAGCAAATTTCACAAAGTGACGAACGGACTGCTTTTTTTTCACTACCCAGAACTCGGTAGAAAATTATTTTGATTTGAAAGAACAATTCATTTACCGGAATCTCATGGCAATGTTGCTGCTGCCAAATATGGATATGGAGACACCAACATGGCTCATGCCTGCGCATGAAGAGAGTAGAACCAGTCTGTCACGCGTCTGTTGGAGAAGTTGTAGCTTGAGAGAGAGAGAGAGGAGGAACGAGGGAGAGAGGAGGAACGAGGGAGAGAGAGGAGGAACGACGGAGAGAGAGGAGGAACGACGGAGGTTCTCAAGCACGTCGAAAGCAGTAAATGGAAGGGCGAGGCGAGGCACCTGTATTTCTTGCTGAAGGACCCCAGTTACCTCGGGAGACGGAAAACATGAGGAAGAAATGGGAAATGTTGACAACGTTAGACCTTTACCAGGTTTTCCAGATTAGTTGACCCTAGAAACGCCAACCGTCGATCAAATCGACGTCGGTAGGCTACCGTGCTGCTTCTGGCCCTTCTGGGCTTAACATAGAAGCATATATCTCCGTCAGGTAAATATACTCTTCTCTGCCATTATAAAAGAAGAGTACATGAGAAATACGGTATACGATAGAGGACTCAACACTTAACGCAATCCGTACCATTTTTACTCCGTCGATCCGCCGCTCAGACCTAGGCCTCAGTTAGCATTTAGCTCGATCCCTACTAGGCTATGACTTTTCCGGCCATAGGCCAGGCAAGAGGGCAATCACTGCCATGCGATTCTCTTTGCCACCCCACTCCATATTTACTGAATGCAACACAACAGTCAAAATGCTACCAAACAATACGGTGGATAATACACTGCAGGATTACTAGGTTACAAAATTCTAGCTTCTTTTGCTAGAACGCAAGGAACACGTAAATCTTGTAACAGTATTTATGGCAGAATTAGGTACATGTATATATTCACGAAATATAGTAAAGAAATACGCAACTGCGGCGGCGTGTAGGTCACGACGGCGTTGGGCGTCCGAGTACGGGGCCTCGATCCAGTGATGCTCCTCCGGATTTTCCGGTCGCTCCACAGGACTCTCTCTCCCCGGCTTCGACAGGGGCACCTAGACTCCTTGCTGTCAGTTCCGCTCTTCAGCTGCCTTTGAGTTACAGTAGTTTAGTAACACCCAAATTTTCCAGGCGACAGGAAAGTAATTCGTGCGATAAGCACAGTTCCCTCGGGACCTGCGTCGTCTCTTTTTTTTTTTTTTTTTTTTAATAATAAAAGGAGCTAATGGTATGGTGGGCCCCGCTGTCAGTGGTGGACCGCCACATGACTCCCGCCCACCACGGTGAGATCCTCCCAACACCAGGGCTGGCAGAGTGCAATACCCTGGAGAAGCTGTTGTGAACGCCATGGGAAGGTGACCCATGACTCAGGCGTGAGGACGAGTGTGCAGGCACGCTCGCCACCACGCAAAAATGAGTGGGAAGGCGGAAGGCGTATCTTATAGCAGCTCGTTCGATGCGTTCTAGTTGGTCGAGGACTGTCTCTGGGCAGTTTGCCCAAGCAGCGAACGCGTACGTTAAGACCGGGCGGAGGTACGTTACATATAACTTCAAAATTACGTGAGGCTCACATTTGTTAACCCCGGCTGCGTCGTCTCATCGCCAGCTCCGTGTCGTCGCGGGGCTTCCTTTCTCCCCTTCCTTGGAGACACTGTTCTCGCTGTTTCCCAGGATTTGTTTTAATTTCCTGGCTGCTCGTCTGAAGTCATCTCTATAATACTTGCCGAGTGGTACAGGGAAACGAGGTCAGAACCCCAGTGGGGTTGCCTCGGCGACTAGGATCGATCTAACATTGGATGTGCAGATAGATCGTGGCTCCCTGGCGCCATCTCGCGCTGCCGGTGGGAGTCTTGGACTGTAACACTTTTGTTTTCTTACACTTAGTGTCTGTGGAAAGGTTTTATGTGTGAGACTCGGAAGAAAGACCCCGAAAAGGCTCCAAGGAGAAAAAAGGGGCTCTCCAACCCCATGAAAATTAGAATATTTTCATGGATAACAATAGGAACCCAGTTAACAGATTTTCATTCCAATACAGGGTGTCTTTTTAAAGTCTGACGTTCATATAATCAAGCTTATGGTTTAGAAAGCATAGTAGGTTTAACGCGCGAGGCCTACAGGGCTATAGGTTGAGTATATCTTTAAAAGA